TTTTGTCTTTCCCACTCATCACGTTCCATTGCCAGCCCGGTGCCTGTCTGCCGTCCCAAAGCGCTTCGTTCTCCCTGTCTCTTCATATATATGTAAGCTTATGCCTGTGTATATTCAGCGTTTCATCTTTTAGCAGAGTGGTCTCAAGGTGGATGAGCTAATTTTCTTACAAACTGAATGAGGGGAGGCGGGAGCGTGAGATCAATGGTCACTTTTCAAATTTGTCCTCTTAGCCCCGCACCCTAGAGGGAGCCCCTCCCTCATAGTTTGAGTAATAGGGAATCTAGTTCTTTTGTTTGGGGGTGAAGAGGTGCTTATGAATATATTCAAACAGCAAATATGAGAGGAAGGTAAAGTCTGAGAATTAAGGCTTTTGGAAGAAAGACTGTGGTGACCAACCCCATCTTCGGTGGAAGTTGCCTCTGAGTCGCCTATATTTGCGACTGTGATACAAAGAGAGCATTGGACACATACCATGTAATCACAAATCAGTTCTTCCCACACAACAGCAAACTGTTGCTTCAGACCCCGCAGGAACAGGTTCTAGAGATGAACTGCCTGTTCTTTTGTTCACTTTGTGGAGCAGAATCCAGTGGGTGGATGGTGAATAAGGTCTCTGATGTTTACTTAGTTGTTATACTCCCCCGGGCTTGACACCCCACTTTCCTACTTTACTTATTTAAAGTGATAAAGAAAGAAAAACAGCACTGAGGAAATTGATCACTAAATGTGGTTTCAGGCACGAAGTGTTCTTTACTTTTTTTTTTTTCCGAGGTTTTCACTGAAGTTTGGGCAGGGTGTCTGGAGGGCTTAAATGGGCCCTTTTTGGGGGACTGGAGTTCTTGGAAGAACTTCCAGTGGAGTGAAATGACTAAACTTTCCTACTCCCGAAGAGTTCTGTGGGGGGAGAATTCTCTAGCACTGAATTCACTGGGCACATCAGGAATATAACAAGAGAGAGGCTTCTGTGGATGAGATGTAGTTTGGAGGAGATAACGATTCATTTTCCTTTTTTTTTCCACCATTCTCATTACATGCATAGAATAGCAGCTTTAAAGGGGTCGATAAAAACAAAGACTTTTTTTGACATTCCCAATGTATTTGTTATACGACAATATTTGTTCCTAAACTTTTTGAAAGTTTGATCCAGTCTCTGTGCAGGTCTCCTCCCTTCCGTAGACACCCATAGTCTAAGGGGAAATAGCCCACCCCTAGCCCTGGAGCAGGTCCTTATCAGTCTAAGCTGAACTGGGTAAGGCATGTGACCTAAGAAATATTTCTTTGCTGGGGGGTGAGGGGTGGCAGGTAGAGGAGGGAGAGAGCAATCCAACCTTCCATTGGATGTTGTCCTGTCCGGATGTGTCACTAGAAGCCATGTCATGTATTTTGGGACCGTGAGGTCTTTTAAACTGGATTATAAAGTTTATACCCTTGGAAGGGCAAGCTGAAAAATGTTTATGTTGTTGTCACTGAATTTATCAGGTTGTTTATCCAGATTGTTTATCAACCCTAGAACTAATTCATCCATCTCTCGTTCTGTGAAATAATGTATCTTCCTTGTTAAGCTATTTGGAATTGTTTTCTGTTCCTTGCAGCCTAAAAAAGTTCCAAATTTGTACATTGATGCTGAAAGTTTATTCTTTATAGTAAAGTTTTTTTTTTCTTTCTTCAAGTAATTATGATGTAGGCAGTTTACAACCCTTGGCGTTACTCTGAGGCAACTCATATATGGGCTGGGAGCCTCAGCTTTTCTAACTGTAAAAGAGGAGAGCAATTCATTAACTTATTTGTTCAACTACAAATTATTAAGCACCTACTAACACAGTTCTACTAGCGGGGAATGTATCATGAACAAGAAAGACAAAAATTTCCACCCTCATAAAATAGATAAAATGAGGAAACCATATGTTAAATAGTCATTGTAAGGAGAAAAAAAAAAATTGGGGAAGGAGGATATGAAGTGTCCTGTAGGAGAGTTAGGTCTGAAGTCTTGGATAAGATGGTCAGGGAAGGCTTTACTGAGGAAGTGACTATATTTTGCAAACAAATAAGTAAGTGAAGGAGACAGCCACTGGATCTCTGAGGAAGAGTGTTTCAACACAGGAAAAGGCAAGTGCAAAGGCCCTGAGGTGGGAGCATCCGTAAAGGTAACAGGGAGCAGTATCAGGTACAGCCTCAAAGGCCACTCTCGGGACTTTGGTTTTCACTCTGAGTGATAAGGGGAACTACTGGAGGGTTTTGTGCAGAGAAGTGACATGCTTTGACTTCTATTTTAACAGGCTCATTTCTAGCTGCTACATCAAGAGTAAACAGAAGAGAGATAAGAGTAGCTGAGAATCCAATTAGGGGGCTATTCCAATAGTATAGAGAACACGAAGGTGATTTGGCCCAAGGGAGGTAGCAGAAGCCATTGTCAGAAGTGGTCAGATTCTGGTTATAATTTGGAGGTAAAAATGACGGGATTTCAAATAGAGGAATTAAGAGAGAGACCAAGATTTCTGGCCTGATCAGAGGAAGAGTTAAATTGCCAATTCTTGAGATATGGAAACAGCTGTAAGGGGAGGTTTTGGCACAGCTGATTAAAAGCTCGGCTTTGGACATTTTGGGATGCCTAGTAGATCTGCAAGGTAGATTTTAGGTAGGCAGTTGGATCTACACGTTTGGAGTTTAAGAGAGTCATCCAGGCTGGAGATAACGACGTATCTGAGAGTCATTAATATAATTTAAAGTCATTGAGATTGGGTGTAATTATCCTGGGAGTGAGTGAATATAGAAAAACTAGAAGCGTTCCAAAATTTAAAAGCCAGGCTGTTGAAAAGGGACCAGGTAGAGATTGGGAAGAAGCATCTAGAACGGTAGGAAGAAAGTTGGGCAAGTGTATTGTCTGAAGGACAAGAGAAAAATGTTTCAAGATTGAGACAGGAAGCTGTGTCAAATGCTGCTGAGAGCAGGTAAAATGAACACTGAACATTGGTCCCTGGAATGAATGACACGGTGGTCATCGGTGACTTTGGGAGAACCTGCTTTGTGGATTCGTGAGGGTGGGCTTAAGGGGACAGGAGGAGAGAGGTGGCAGACAGCAAGCGCATGCAGGCCTTTCAAGGAGTCTGGACATGAAGGAAAGAAACGGGGTGTTGGCGGGGATGTCTAGTGTAGAGGAAGCGATTTATGATGACGGGGTGCGGCGGGGAGACTTGCGATGCCTGCCAGCAGGTGTGAAGGGGAAGGGTGTCGGCCTCTGCCAGGTGCACAAACTATTTCCACAGCAACGGGAGAGAAGGCCAGGTGCTGCGTAGACAGAGATGCAGAGATGGCTTTATTTCTTGCTGTGAAGTCAGAAGCCGGGTCCTCAGGAGAACATTTCAGCTTATTTTGAGAATTGTTTTATTTGACAGAAAAGCAGAAGTACCGTAAATACTTCATGCTGCTCTCTCGGGCCAAGGTGGTTTATGACTGCTTATTGTTCCGGTCACGGACACATGGTTTAGTGTGCTGATATTCAGTATCTTTTTTTTTAAAATAAATATATATTCTCACTTTCATCTGACAAAGGAGACCATGGAAACTGAAACATTTGTAGAAGCCAGTAGAATTTTATTTAATGAAATCACTCAAAGGTTGTGCTTTCTGTGTTCACCCTTACATTATATATAGTTTTTATTTACAAAGATTCAAAATTTCAGTTACTTTAGGCTAAGATTCCTTGAATTTCCCTAGAATATACTGATTTACTCCATTTCATTTTCCCTACTTTCGGCTAGATTACTACCTCGCTATTCCTCATTTTGCTGCTGAGACATTTGAATATGAGTATATCCTTAGCAATATCAGTAAATCTACCTAAACAGGGCAGCTCATATCAAAACAAGAGTTCTATACGCTTCTGAGTAAGGAATAACTAGAACATTGGGAGTATTACTATCAGTGATTAGAACAGTTAGAGCTGCTACCATTTAATATTTACCACCAAACATTATTCTAGGTACTCTGTACCTATTATTCCTAACCTTCACAATATCCTTATTGTTTTTTTTCTTCTCATTTTATAAACACGAAAACGAAGGTTCAGAGGGAAGAGGCAAATTGCTCAGAGTGTCAAAGACAACAACGACAGAACCGAACAATAAACCCAGGACTCCGATTGCACTGTGAGTTTCCCATTGATGGTTTGGCCATGGTTCAGCAACTACTAACAACGTCTCCCTTCCTGGCTCTTATATGGAGCCACGGATACAAACACACAGTTCTTGCCTAGAGAGGCATTACTCCAGCAGAGAATACACAAAGATGTATTTCCAAAACAATGTGGTTGGCGGAAGAGGTGAACACAAAGTATGGTCAGTACTGAGAGAGAGAGAGAGAGAGGGAGAGAGAGAGGGAGAGAGAGAGAGGGAGAGAGAGAGAGGGAGAGAGAGAGAGGGAGAGAGAGAGGGAGCTTAGAGCATGGTCTAGGGAGGTTTGCTGGAGGGGATGATAGTCTAAATTGAATTTCAAGGAATGAGTAAGAATTAGATTGAAGAAGTAGGGGAAGAATATTCTAGAAACATAAACGTGTGGTGCTTTTAATAAACTGAAAGAAGTTGAGTACTTCTGTGCACTCAAGTTCAAGTTGAGGGGTAGTGGGAGATGAGGCGCTTGCCTATATATTGGAGATGATAACACAGAAGTATTATATGGTCAGATTTGGGTTAAAAATGGAATCTAGCTAGCAGCCATGAGAAGGATGGAGTGGAAGGCACATTGAGAAATTTTTAGGACTCTTGTTTTAACTGCTTTGTTCTCAGAAAAATTTCCCTAGGAGAGACAGGTTTTGTGCACACAGTAACTTGTCATTAGCATCACCAAGTACGTTCCTAGAAGGAAGCTCAGTTCAGTAGCTTCATCTTTATGTCAAAGGTAAATTATGGACTAATGAGACCACATAGTGCCATTGGCACTAGCCAGCATCACACATGCATAAATAAATACAGTACCTCTTAAAAATAAAAATGGACACATTGTCAGCAGAAATCACAAATTTATTAACTCTTAAATATATCAATCAGTCATTTACCATTATGGCAAGAAATATATACAGTGTCCCACGGTAAACTGCAGTGTTTCAAAATGAGAGAAGATAATTAATAAATGTGTAATTCAATTGTGGTGGAGAGAACAAATCACAATTTCCTCACGTCTTAGTGCGGAAGACAAACTTGATCTACAGTAATAATACTTCAACACCACATGCTAAAAGTGTAAAAAAAAAAAAACACTCTATACCTATTTTGTTAAAAAATACATGTATGCCACGTATAGCTGCTGCACAAAAAGGTAAAAGAAATTAAAAAGGGAAAAATGAGGCCATTATTTTTTTCACAGATCTCATTGGCAGGTTAACATGGCCCAATACATTTACTGTATATATTTATTTTATTTTAAATATATATTGTTTTAAATCGTGTAATAATTATCAGAAAAGCTTCAATCCATCTACCATACATCCACTAGCAACAATATCTAAGGTGATTAGTAATCAACACAGAAAGGTGAAATGAGAGAAAAGAGGGAGGGTTGATGTTTTTATTTTTTTGCTTCTGCTTTAAAAATAGGCTTCTGGGGATTGTGAATTACTATTGTTAAAATAACGCTGATGAAGATACCATGCACTATAAAGCATTTCAGGGAGGAGAAAAAGCCCCACAGGAATTGAATAAACAAAGGAGAAATGAGAACCACAGAGAAAACAGGGACAATCCCTCCCGCCCCCCCCTTTTTTAAATAGGAAAATGCTAACTCCTCGAAGGAAGATAATGTTACTCTGACACATGAGAGAAGCTACAAAAGCACAAGTCACAGAGACAGAGTTCAAAACAAACACTTAGGAGAATGGAAAACACCCGCAGGCCTCTCTAACTTCAGAAAACTAGCCAGTGATGACGCAGGAGGCGCGCATCCTGCAAGGCAGAAGGAAGCGCCTGTGCACAAAATCCTGATCTACGACCAGCTTGGTACTCTCCTGGCAACTGCACCAATCAGTGAGACGTGGTGCAGGTACAGTAGGAACCTACTTGCTTTTATTATAAGTTTAAACAATTCTAATACCTCCAACATAGTTAGGATCCCTACGTCCAAACTCGAGCAGAATTACAAACTTTTGAAATCTTCTTGACATCATTTTTATGGGCCCAGAAGATGATCAAAGCACTAGTTTAGCCACCTCCAAAAGGCCTGTTTTTATTTTACCTTCATTATGCAAATTTCACTTTTCTCACACTACTAGACAAAAAGAGAAAAAAGAATGAAAAGCAGAAAAATATAAAGGAAGCAAACAAAAGTAATAAAGAAATAGGAGAAAATGAAGAAAAAAGAGCATAGGTTTGAGAAAGGAACAAAAAATTCAGCAAATTTCACCAGAACAGTGCAAGTATACCCTAAAGTGATCAAACTCGTCAATGACGTGAGTTTTTCCAGTTTACACAGTTTGACCAAAAAAGACATGACTTTAGGTAGTAGCAAACCCACCGATTCTCGCTTCCACATTCATAAGTGATTCTGCCCACGTATCAATCCCTTTCATTGTTAAACAGCAACACAGCTTTCAGTGACATATCAACCATTTCAACCAGGATCACACCAGGAAACTGAAGGTAATTTCTTTTCCCTTTTTTTGTTAAACAAAAAAGCTAAAACAGATGAACAGCAAAGAGTTTTTAAAAACTTACATTTCTGTTACAAACTGTCATTCAAAGAACGATAATTTTGAAGTCTGTTAAGTCTTGGCATAAGCAGAGAAACCGGATGAGTAGGTTTGTACTTGGAGTATTGTGGAATTTTGTCTGACCTCCCCCTATTGTTTGCCAACAGTGAGTGAAGTTTGCATGGAACATCTCCATAGTTGAAGTGTAAACAATGTACAGGAAGGAATATATGACAAGATGATGCATCACATGTGCATTACACGTAGGACCTTCACAACTTCATGCACTCAGAAACATGCATGAAGAGGAGGAGAGGACGGCCCAGGGTTACCATCCAGGTGAGAACAGAGAATGCAGAAGTGGCACTGTTGATACTTAGCTGAAAGGAGAGAGGGGAGACATAAATTAAACTGTTTTACAAAGTAGCATCAAATTGCTTTGCCAAAGATTAGGCTAGGCTACGATTTTATAACTCAGCAGTTAAGTAATAGATCGAAAAGGCTACGTATAAGAGATCTTTGCTTGCAGTCATTAAAAGAGAAAATGCACAATGTTAAGCAATTAATATGGATCTTCTACTTGAATCTGTCAATTTGTCCACACAGAGCTAAGCTAAAAATAGACGGGGACTCAGGCTGCAAGCACATGATGAAATCTAAACATACAGTTCAAGCATTCATGTTTACCGGACAAATTAATAAATGAATAGCATTATTTGGTGGAAAGAGACGAAAAGTTTAAATGCATCCTTTAGCTTCTGTCATTATTCTTAGACTCTGCAGGAAATCACACCTAGAAGTCAATTTTACAGCCTCAGAAGTAGGGAAAACACGATTATTCTTATTTAATTGGAGGTCTTCTTTCTTTAAACCAACAGCTGGGAGCACTACCTCTTCCAAGGTCTGACAAGGTTCAGTGCTTGCTTTGAATGGGGAAAAAATTCACAACAGTACCACAGGTATCTGAATTATTCTAATCCAAGGTAAGAAGCAAATCTTAGGAAATAACAATGCAGGCATGAATTGAATTACAGTCAACTTCCAATTATCCTCTGGAATTACTCGCTTTGTTTTAAATTTCAGCTTGACTTCCTCCTCGTGGTCAAATACTATTATACTCAGTCAGGCAGAGCCAATTAGTCTAGGTATTAACCTTAGCCAAGGGCAGAACAGGAACTATAACCTCTTGTAAAACAGTAAGACTCCAAAAGAGCCTAGAGCCTGATATAAATTAGTTCTGGATAATTGAGAGTTGTCTGAATTGACCCAGAGAGAACTGACTTTTGATGTGAGAACTCCACGATATTCCAAACCTGCCACAATCCATGTGCTGAAGGGAGGGTCTCCTCAGCACTTTAGTACCTTGAAAATATGGGTTATGCTACACAATGGTGCCAACCATTAGACTCAAGAGCTCATGCAAATATGGTTTTCACTGAAATAATGTGAGGAAATATCCTCAAAGGGAGGAAAAACAGCCATGCAGCTTTTCAGTCATTAGCTCCAATCACAAAGTATCATGGAGCAGGGTGTTACTTACAAGACCCACATGGGAATGGTTTTCAGGCCTTAGATGTTTTGCCACAAAGAGGTGCTTCCTGAGAAGTTTTCTTTCCCATTTGGAATACAAGATGGCCTATTAAGAGAAGCCCCATTTAAGCCACCTGGCATAAAATGAAGTTTTCTTAAATAGGCTCTATCCCATAAACACTTTAGGGAATTGCAGAAAAGCCTAACCTTCTAGTACTGAATGAATGTAATCCCTTCTGTATTAACTGGAAATTGGTGCTGTACCTCTTTGGGGTAAAAAACCCAGAAATGCACAAAACAGGTGTCTTCATTATCATTACATTCCTTTTGTCTTTCTCTTAATTACTTAGCTTTTTTTTTTTTTTTGGAGTGAATTTCAACCTATTTTTTTTTCCCCTTACTGACCCACTTTTTACAAATCCAACAGTGATACATAATAAGGCTATAGAGAAGGCCATTGAAAACCACTGTGGTGGGACATTATTAAACTAAGACATTTTGATGGATTCTCCGGAGTGAGTTGAATGGCTGTTTGTGTGGCCTTGATTCCCCATCCCATGCCCCCCAGATATTACCAGGTAATCCTGGTGAGAGAATCTGGAATGAGATCAGCAGCTGGCCGAGCTTCTACTGATTCTGAACACCCCTTCTTGTTCTCATCTCACCCCACTTTACTGACACAACCTCAACACCCCTTCTTGTTCTCATCTCACCCCACTTTACTGATGCAACCTCAACCCCCATGATTCCCCTTGACTCGAGCTGGAGCTGGAGCCAGCCTTCCTTACTGACAATCCTCTACCACAGGAAGCTAACGTCTGACCCTGTGCTTTTCCTCATGATGCTCCTTGAACTTGGACTATCTTCCTTTTGTTCTTTCTATCCTTCCATTTCTCCAAATTCCACTCCTCACTTAAGACCTTGTTCAAAATTCTTTTATACACAGTATACTTCCAAACTGTTATAAACAGTTTGCTACATTAGTCATTCATTCCCTTCTACACTGAAGTTGATTATAAACTTTGTTTTTTCTTTGGTATTGGTGATAAGTTGCTTTCTAAACTAGAATATAAGTTCCTAAGGGCAACATCTTTCACCTTGCATTTTACCTGGCACATTTTACCTGCACCTATGTGATGTGCAGTAAATGTCTAATTATTGATTGGAAGAGCAAACATGACATCTGAGGTAGAGTGGTGTAGTGAGAAAGATGCTGAAATACCTAATACTTGCACCTTAAATGCTGTATTTCATACATTTCTCATAATTGAGCACCAGTAGAAGAAAACCTGTGAAATGAAGCTCCTGATATTATACAGTCTCCCCACAGTATCTGGGGGGGAGGGGATTGGTTTCAGAACCGCCGAGGATATCAAAATTTGCAGATGCTCAAGTTTCTTATTAAAATGGCACAGTATTTCATATAACCTACACACATCCTCCCATATACTTTAAATAATCTCTAGTTTACTTAGAATACCTAACACAATGTAAATGCTATGTAAATAGTTCCCTGCAAGACAAATTTAAGTTGTGCTTTTTGAAACTTACTGGAATTTCTCCACCCCTGAAAATTTTTGATCTCAGGCTGGTTGAATCTGTGTGTAAGGAAACCATGGATAAGGAAGGTCAACTGTATTGGTCATTTTAGAAACTTTTCCCCCTAATTTTTCCCCTTCCTCTGCCAACTGTGACAATGACGTCATAAATAGTTTACCTTATTACATGAATTCTCCCTGATTTAACCATAAGAGAAATCAGCGTAATAGGGTATCCTCTAATTCCTGTCTAAAACTATTGTGTACTTTCTAGGGCAAGTTTCAACCCACAAAAGGCTAGTCTGATTGATCTTTCTGGAGAATTACAGACTGCTTCTCATGAAACATTAATTCCCACCAGTGTAACTGACCACTAAATGACCACTAGCATTAAATAACAGATGCCATGCTATTAACAATGGAATAAGTAAAAGACGGTGACCAGGGGTATATTAACAAAGAAGCTGACAGCCTGGAAATATTTACTTGATGGGTACTGTTCGCGACCCCGAGCGATGAAAATGAACATTCTGCCACTTTCCATCCCGGCGGTGCCACACACGTGTCTCTTCTGACTGCATTGTTTTTGGCATTCCGCTGCCATCCATGTACTGTGTGAGCCTAATGTATGCTATGCAGGCAGCATCATCGCCTACCAGATGTACATGGGGGTTCAGGATAATAGTGTGGATTGGTTTATTGCTTTTGGACAAAGCTGAAAGAGAACAACATGGAAAAGAGAATTTAGTTTCTATGTAAAGTAAACCAAAACCAATAATAACTTCAGTTGGGACCAATAAATAGAATGCCATTCATTCATTCAACTATTAGTTCTTTGCATTAATTGAATGCCTGGTACTGTGCAAAGTATAAAGAAAAAGAGAGCAGAAGTAAATACAGTCATTATTTTCTTTGACTCCCTTTGTAGTTAAATTGTATGCCACTCTGAAAACTTTGACAAAGCTGGAGAGACATATTTATATTGGGAAGTGGTTAGGAACAAGCCATAATATGAATAGAGATGGAGAAGGGCTGGCCCAGGTACACGGAGCAGTTCCTGTCTTTCCAATGAAGGAACCACTGGGGCAGTTGACAGGGTATCCTGTGGGCTTGTTCATTTTTTTTGTTAGTTGGTGAAGTACATGGGACAAGGGGAACATATCAAGCATGGAGACTGCTGTCTCCTAAGCAGGCTGGCCATAGTGTGACTCTGTTTCCCCATCTCATCCTGTGGCTCCTTTATTTAGTAGCGTCCATTCTATGTTAGTCCAGCTGTGGTTATCCAGTAAAAACCCAAAATTTGGTGTTGGCCATATAGCCTGATTCTGATTCTCTAGCTCTTTTCTTTGGTTAAGCAGCCCTCACTAGGCTCCAGCCTTTGTTGTTTTGACAATAGCTATTTATTCTAGTTATTCAATGACTGAGATATGACGATTTAGTGCAGATAATTGATTGATGATGCTACTCTCTTAGATCACTAAAACAGGTAGAACTGTTTTACCTATTAACCAAACACGTCCTCCATTTTCAGAAAAGATCTGAATAAATTACTTAGTGCTACAGTCATGTAAAAAAGAATATCCCATTATGAAGAATATGTATTTATGGAAAGTAATGATGTACAGTGTTATGTTGAGGTAAGTTAAAATATTAATGGGTTAATTATTCTTTTACTACAGGTGAGATGGTGTCAATCGAGAGTCAACTAAAGAAAAACATTATGAGATGCTGTCAGTCACAGTGCGGGATGGAACAGAGAGAACAGGAGAACATTTACTGAAGCTTTGTTAAGGCCAATTTACCACATAGTTATCTTTGCTTGCAAATGTCTAGTGCATATAAGACAAAGCAATTCATTAAATGTAAAAATCCATGCCAAGGCAGACATTTTCAGTGCTTATAATTACTGGACGTGAGCTTGATTATCCTAATCATTACTACAATTCCTCTTTAATTCATCAAAATCTCACTGCAAAAGGTGAATTCCCTCCCTGCATGACACCTAATGTCGTTATGTGTGAGGGAAAGGAGCATAAAAGAAACTTCTGGTCTACACTTTTCTTGGTGACCTGAAGGAATTCTGCAGGAGTTTCTTTTGTCACTTTCTCTTTCCTCTGAGACCATTAAAATTCTTGTAATTGGAACTGAAATATTTATCTGATTACTCATCTTCATTTATATTTTACCTTGAAAAGGAGCATTAATTATGCTTGAAAGCCCTCCTCTATGTCAAATATTCTGGCATGCTGTGTTTTTTAAAATCTTTTCATATACAATGTTTTATGAAAACCATTTTCATAAAACAATGTTTTATGAAAAATTCAACAATTTTTGGTCACTCATTTCACAGCTTATATTATACATTCACTGGGACTTCTATGGGGTATATTCAATCAACATCACTTTTTTTTTTTTTTTTTTTTGCAGTACGCGGGCCTCTCACTGCTGTGGCCTCTCCCGTTGCGGAGCACAGGCTCCGGACGCGCAGGCTCAGTCGCCATGGCTCACGGGCCCAGCCGCTCCGCGGCATGTGGGATCTTCCCGGACTGGGGCACGAACCCGTGTCCCCTGCATCGGCAGGCGGACTCTCAACCACTGCGCCACCAGGGAAGCCCAACATCACTTTTTTATATAAACATACTTTTCAAAACATATAAAACTCTTTAAGGCTGTCATGTTTTTCAATTTCAAATACAAAAATATAAAAATACGATGCAAAATGCTGGACTAAGGTAAAAACTCTCATTGCAGCAAAGAGCCAAAGAATCTGTAAATTTGGGAGAAATTCAAAGAGAATTTGGAAAAGGCATGATATTAAATTTAGAATAAATGTACCATTCTCAAAGTAGAATCGATGAAAGTCCATCCCTTCCACTAAATTACCCAAAGCTTCAGGTTCAAAAGCAGTAAGGCCTGGGTCACAGATTTTCCTGTAGGAAAAAAAAAAAAATAAATGAGTTAATGTATTTCGTTGTTTCACAATATCTATTCTTATTTATCAGCCAATGAAGGAGTTTTTTTAAAAATATAAAATTTCTATCACAGGGCTTGGCAAGGCGGTTTGAGGAGCAGACCCTAAAAAGGAATATTGCAGAGACCTCAGACAGGGGCGAGACAATAAAACCAGCTCCAGCAGGCGGTAATCTATCACACTTTAGGAAGTTTCCTTTTTTAAAATGCCTACTCTTCAATTTCCAAGGTGAACTCTCTAGGCTTTCCCCAGTTTTTCTAATTCCCTAGTTTTTTAGTTGTTATAAGTTTATTATTTTTTAAATGCTCTCCAAGTCCAAGCTACCCTCCAAGTCCTATAAAATCAACTTTGGCTCTGAAATTAAATACTTTCGGAATAATTTTTGACATCATCTACATTCATATCAAACATGTATATATGATTGATTTGAAGGCAGGTGTCACATCCTACACTTTCTGGCAATGTCTGACAGACTTAAGTAACCTTTAATTAACAAGCTTAATTAACTTAAAATTAATGAGAGATTCAAATGCACATTAGTTTTCTTTTTAATCCTAGAAATGTAATTCAAGAAAAACATATACTATTTTAAATATTCAGAGAAAGCCAATGGGCTTTCTTGGAAAATTTTATTTATTCAATGAAGAATTGTTAAACACCTACTATGTAGCAGATATTCTTTGAAACAATTATAACACAACAATTAATAATGGAATGGAAATAAATACGAAGTGCTCAAAAACCAGATGACATATATATGAGAAAGGAAAGTTGAGCTGGGCTTTCTGGAATGAGTAGGAGTTTTCCAGGTGTGTGGAAGGGGGTAGGCAGAGGAGGGCAGCAAGTACAATGGCAGAGTATGGTTGGGGAATGATGGGTAGTTGCTTGATATGGTGAGCACTGGGTCTGGGCATGTTTATAAGTCCCGTGGAAACAGAGGAGAAAATATTTCCTTGGGCCTGTGGTGATCAGCTTAGGCTTCTCACAGAAGGTGCCGTAAAATCTGGATTTGAAGAATTAGTAGTTCACAAAGTTAGATAAAAGGAATACGTACTGAAAGATTTTGGATCATTTATTAGTTTGGTGGGGCTACATCTAATTTCGTATGGAAATTGCCCATTTGGGAGGAAAAAATGTTTTAACTGTTCAACAGAAATGCAAGTTTCAAAAGCCTCACTCATTATGGTTCTTGAACGTATGGTTCACAGAATTTTGGAACTGATTTTTTTTGTTTTGTTTTGTTTTTGTTTTTGCGGTACGCGGGCCTCTCACTGTTGTGGCCTCTCCCGTTGCGGAGCACAGGCTCTGGACGCGCAGGCTCAGCGGCCATGGCTCACGGGCCCGGCCGCTCCGCGGCATGTGGGATCTTCCCGGACCGGGGCACGAACCCGTGTCCCCTGCATCGGCAGGCGGACTCTCAACCACTGCGCCACCAGGGAAGCCCCTGATTTTTTTTTAAGAATACTTTTAAAGTAAAAAATCACAGTGGTTATTCGTTGTGATAAAGAAAGCCTTAGTTGCGGGTGGGGTGGGTGTGGGTGGGGATTTTAAACTTTGCCTCAGACTTCCTGGGGGGCAGGTATTAAGGCTCAAAGTTAAATATACATAATCTCTTTCTAAGTAGTAAAATGGGAAAAACAGTGTTCCCATGGTAACAGGACTTTATTCTGCCAGGGGCTATTACTTTATCTATAAATATGACTTTTGGTTGTCAACGTTAGTGAATCAAAATTTTTTACTACTTTATATCAGCACCAAAATCACCTGAGAGGGGCTTCCCTGGTGGCGCAGCGGTTGAGAATCTGCCTGCTAATGCAGGGGACACGGGTTCAAGCCCTGGTCTGGGAGGATCCCACATGCTGCGGAGCAACTAGGCCCGTGAGCCACAACTACTGAGCCTGCGCGTCTGGAGCCTGTGCTCCACAACAAGAGAGTCCGCGATAGTGAGAGGCCCGTGCACCGCGATGAAGAGTGGCCCCCGCTTGCCAAAACTAGAGAAAGCCCTCACACAGAAACGAAGACCCAACACAGCAAAAATAAATAAATTAATTAATAAACTCCTATCCCCAACATCATAAAAAAAAAAGTCACCTGAGAATCACTGTACTATGATGGACCTTTTTACCCAGCCATTGAGTCAAAATACTTGAAAACTTGTTCATGTGTTCTTTCTCTCTCTCATATGTTTCTTCTATGTAAGTAATGTATGTATGTATCTCTCTCTCTCCTATCACAGGCTTTGGATTAATAAAAGATTCACAAAGCTGCCACTTGACCTGTGGGTGTGTATGCTCTGAACAGGTGTTCTAAGGACCAGCTGACAGGGCTGTACCAATACATTCTACCATGCAAAAAGCTCCCAAATGGAAGGTCCTCTTGGATTACCCCTGGGTCTGAGTGTACAAAATCAAGCCAGATTACAGGCAAAGGAATTCGTAAACTGATGTGATTCCAAGGAATTGCATTATTTAAAATACCCTATTTTAAAGTGTCAGAATATAGGAAACGCTATATTTTGCCACTTTTTCCTGGCTAACAACACCAACAAAACACACTCTACCAATCCGCAGGGGAATGTTATTCCAAAAGATTTTTATCCTAAGTATATTATATTGGAAGAATCATATTGGGTCTAACAAAGTTATATCAGCAAAAAGAATAAAAGGGAACAGGTCTTACGGCACAGAATTCTAAACAGCTCTTTAATAACTGTTCAACTGTTTAATTCTCTGACAACAAACAGTGTTCTTTTAAACTCCATTTCTTACTATTTCTTTCATTCTAAGTATACTTTTATTAGGTCCTGTTAAAGAATTGATAAACACAAATACATATATATGTATATACTTATGTTTGTATGTATTTGCACACACATTAATTTATAAGAAGCAGTCCTGGATTTAATTTAGTTCTTATATTCAGTTACTCTCTTCCATATTTTATATTTGGCTAGCTATTTGTAACTGATGATAAAAAATATCTTCTTATTATACAAAACTTGGAAAGAAGCAGGAAATAAAAAACACAGTTTCATCTCCCAGAGGCAATATCTTTTTTCCTTTTAAAAACCAATTTGTCATATTTCATTCTGTTTTTATATTTTCTCTTATGTAGTTGGAATAATTATGTACACACACGTTTATATCCTGCTTTATCTTCAGTGAATACTCATAAGCGTTTTGCCAGATCGCTAGAAATTCTGCATAAGTATCCACGGTTCCAAACACACCACAGATTAATGTTACCATAATGTTGGACATATAAGCTGTTTATAATTTTTCACTATTTTGAATATTGATTCCATAAATATCTTTGTTCACACTTTTGGTCCCTGTTTTAAATTCAAAATCCCATGTTAATTTTTTTTTTTTTTTTTTTTGCGGTACGCGGGCCTCTCACCGCTGTGGCCTCTCCCGTTGCGGAGCACAGGCTCCGGATGCGCAGGCTCAGCGGCCATGGCTCACGGGCCCAGCCGCTCCACGGCATGTGGGATCCTCCCAGACCGGGGCACGAACCTGTGGCCCCTGCATCGTCAGACAGACCCTCAACCACTGCGCCACCAGGAAAGCCCTGAGTTTTTATAACTAGGAACATAGGGTTAAAGTAGTGATTTGAACCTTTGGAAACACTTCCTGGTATATAAATGCGACCCAAATCCCTGCTGTCACCACCACTCTGAAAGTCTGTCCCCATTTATACTCCATCAGGTGGTGGGAAAAGTCACTATTGTCCTGCAGTATCTGTGCCCCTTTGGTGATCAGCGGAGTTTTATCTGTGCTGATTTGATCGGCAGAAAACCCTCCTTCAGATTTGCACACAACTAGTGGACATCAACATGCTTTCATTAGTTTACTTGTCATTCATATTTCCTCTTTTGCTAATTGCTCAGTTCCTTTACCTATTTTTCCACTTTTCAACCTTATCTTCTCAATCTAAATTAACTTTTGACATGTTTTACACATATTTTTCTGTTTCTTTTTTGTCTGTTTTATTTTGGCTTTAAAAAAAATTAAAGTATATTAAGTTTCATCTATTTAGGTAGCCTAATCATTTCACTTTTTCATTTCACTGACTTCCCCTGCTTTTAAACTTAGATCTTTCCAACCAGAGATCAAACTCTTTTCTGCATTTAACACTTTCATTCAAGAGGACCTCACTAGTATGGTATAAGGGGAAAGCTGAGAACTGATTTTTTTTCTCCACTCAAATAACTAACTTATTGACCCACGTTCTTTGCACAATAAGCCTTCACGCCCTATTTGAAAGCTTTACTTTTATTTGATCAAAGTGACTTCCTTTAATACCTATGGTAAACTTTAAATTTAACATTAGAACCCTTTCTTCAAATAAAATTTTATCTAAGAGGCAAACCCCTAAAAGAGATGAAGATATAGTTGAGCTGTGCTGGCTGGAAAGGGAAAAGGCTGCCAGATGCTGCCTCCTAATCTCTTTCTCTGTCCCATCACCTCTGCAGAACTGCGAGGAAAAACGTCTCTTAAGCCAAGTGAACTATTTACGTGCTTTCGTGTTTCTTGTGTGTTTGCTCTCATGGATTGCTCTGCCTGGAATGCCTTCTCTCGCATGGAGGTGCCAGAGGGTCAGGCTTCTGTGCACTGACAAAGAAATCCCCAATCTTCCTATCAGAAGTCTCATCTTCTCTCTCTGAAATCTTAATTACATTTATTTCTCTCCTAGAGGCACCTGAGTCATGTATACGTTGGAATGAAGCTATTGCGGGTGTATCAAACCTGGCGTTAAATATACACGAGTCAGGTACATTGAAGAATGCATTCATATAGAAAATACTTTGTCATATGCATGAAAGCAAAATAAATGTGCCTCTACTCACGTGTAAGCTTCAAAGTCCCCGTTGTTGATAGCTTCGATGAGTTGTTCAGTAACTTTGATAATCTCTTGCTTTCGTGCTAAAGGCAAAGATAAAGAGTTGGGTGAGAATAAAGGGCAAAAGCCATATAAAATTACTCTAATGGTACTGCTATTTTCCTTAAACAGGGTATTACCAGTTAAGACACATCCCTCTCAGAATCTTGGTGTTATCCTCTCTACAATCTTGCTGCTCAAGCGCACAGGTCAACATTAGGTCCCTCTTCTGGGAGCCTGGCAGAAACACAGATTCTCAGGTCCTACTCCAGACCTACAGTTTCAGAATCTGTATTCTACCAGGACCCTCAGGTAAGCATGTTCACATTGGGGAAGCACTGCTGCCCTCCCTCTGTTAGAAAACAACAGTCACCCAGAAGGTCAAGGCTATATTTTAAAAAAGTAGTTCTTATTACCTTTACCAACATGATTGAGTTTACGAACATTCTTGTGTTATTTTAATCTATCTTCACAGTATAGCTGACATCTTGCATTGAGACATTTAACTTTAAGTATTTGCATTTTTTTATTGTTCAGCTCAACTAACCCTGCAAAAGAGGATGCTAACGCTGTAATTGCCATCATATTTAGATAAATAGCCTTCCGTAAACTGTAAATTGGAAAAACAAGGTATGAATCAATGCTGTGGATGGAGATGGAAGTCCCCCCGTATGGCTGTCAACTCTGACAACAAACATGATTTGTTTCTATTTCTAGCCCATAACTGGTAAAATTATTAACAGTTGGCTTGGCTCAAATCCCACCTACTTCATCTGCCTCAAGTGTTCTTTCCCTTTGTGGAAAGCCTACCTTGTATTATTCATTGGGCAATTAAGCATATACTATATACCATGACAACTTCTTTAGTTAAATTATTGTTTTAAATTGTTACTAAACTTGGTTTACTGTGTAATGTCTTCCTAGTTAAATTAAAAGCTCCCTGTGGGCAAAGAACATGTTATTTCTTTGTATCCTCGAAAAAGCTTTATCCAATGTCTTTAATAAAACAGATGCTCAATAAGTTGAATTTGATCAACTGATTTGATAACCTTTTCCTGATTTCAGAACAGTATTCTCTTACTAAGGAAATAAAGCCATGAAATATTTTAAAAATTAAATTTAATTGAATTTTGTTTAAAGAACATTGTGATACTTTCTTAAATCACTGGAAATAAACTGGGGGTAATCACAAAAAGTTATTCCATCTATCTTAGATAGGCTGCTATTCATCATAGAAAAAGCTGAAGTCTGGTTTTAGTTCTTATTGATTAAAGTCAACCAGTTTGCATTTCTAATGAATCTGATCTTTTTTTTAGCAGATTCTTAACCACAAACTTAAAGTTTATATTCACTTTCAAAACTCCAGGTTATTCCCCTCATTACTGAACTGCAGGAGACTGAGCCCCCTTGGGCTTTGGCGACCCCATCTGGGCAGTGTTTATTTGTTGGTTGATTTTGCTGTGCCGGGTACTTCCTTTCCCATTTGCTATCATTTTGTAACACACATGCTGACCCTCTTCCCTTCCTCTTCTTTTCCTTGGGAAAATACAATGAATAAAGACTTATCGGTACAAAAAAAAAAAAAAAAAAAAACCAAAAACTCCAGGTTATCCAGGTTGTGATATTCCTTATTTAAAACAAATGTCCTGGTGCTTGGTGATCACCTAGATAGGAGGGATAGGGAGGGCGGAAGGGACACGCAAGAGGGAGGAGCTGATTCACTTTGTTACAAAGCAGAAACTAACACACCATTGTAAAGCAATTATACTCCAATAAAGATGTAAAAAAACAAAAAACAAATGTTCTGTAAACCTAACTTGACTTTACTGAGATTATATGAGACTACCTTATAAAATATGGTTTGTCCACAAATGGTTGCTAACAATGTCAAGGTTGATAATGTCAAAAAATAATCTCCATACAGGTTAGATTCCATATTCAGTTATTTACATAATTTCATTTATATTGAAAAAAATAACATAAGGTTTCTTAGCTCCTATACACACCTAAAACATTTCTTGCCCATGATCATTTGATGAATGAATAGCTATAATATACCGAACATCAAAGCATACTGACAGAAGTAGTGGCAGGGAATAATTCTGTAATAGGGATGGTGCCAATGGCACAGTTTAGCTTAATTTAGTTAGGCAATAAGTGATTCATCTGTCTGTAGCGTCAACAGTATGAACATTTGGCAAAAACGCATGACAGCTGACCCAATTCTGGAATATAAAGGACACTGGTGCAGAGGAGTTCAGAAAATGAGATTAGAAAAATGTGACTACCAAAACTTCCTCCTCGTATTAAATCCTCATTTAAAACTAATAGATTTCTTAGGATGCTATGTGGCTAATAGGAAAAAAAACTACAGTTTAGAAAACAATGTTAATTTTTTAGAATAAAAGAAGGAAAAAATGAACATAAGATCACTGCCCTTTGAAGAGCTTCATTAGGCTAAGAGTTAGTTTACAAAGTGCGAACAGTTCTGGGTCACCTTCTGAAGTTCCTGAAAGTCTCTAGATTCCTTCAGAAGCATAATATCCAATTAGAAACATCAGTGTACATGGCCATGTCTCACTCTGAACCACTATGGAAACACTCATTAGCTCTTCAACAGTCTGCATCCTACAACTGGCTTAATTTTTGTCCTGCATAATCAAAGCAACACAAGTGGCCTTCTTAGTTCTTATTTTCAGAAACAGTGGTGCTGTAGCTGGCAGGACGGCACATGGGAAGTAGCCAGAAGGCTTCTGTGCTGCATCATCATGAAAGCAACGTGCCTCTCTTGGCTCAGGAGGGGCCTGGAACTCAGTAATCTTTAGAGTGCTTGTTTCCCTGGAGCAAAGGCGCTTGAGTGAGTCAGGGCAGCACATGACAGCTGACTCTTTAAAGGAAAGCAGAAGGCTGGGAATGAATCATTTGTATATAGAAGTCTGTTGTGGTTGGAACTGTTGCCACAGTGACCTAGAGGAAGAAGGAGGGTTTGATGCGAGCTGTATCTCCTCTAGCCAGCAGTGAGGCTGAGGAACAATCACTGCGCAAGGTGCCTGGATGTCTATGTTCTGGGGGGAGGGGTCACTATCCTCTGGCCTTCCCTCTTCCTGAATGTCAAGTAATGGCCACTCCGGAAGTCAAAGTGGGGAGAGCTTGAGAGGTGTCACTAATTACCCTGAAGGCGAGGGAAGAGTGTACCAGTAAGGTGTTCCCTGAGTACCAGAAGCTTCTAACCTCATGGCTAGACACTTAATCACAGGGAACTGATTACCAAATAGTTTTATTTATAGAATTGAGGTGCTCAAGCCTATACCCACAGGTCCCAAAGTAGTTTCTGGGGATTTCCAGGTTCCTAGGGGAAAGGCAGGAGAGAAAAGCAAGCGGCAGAAATGCTCCAGATCCTGAGTGCGATTACTTTCCATGCAATTCTGCAAAAGAACTGAGAACACTGCCATGTTCAAATTCATATTTTTTGTCTCTTTATTGTTCTAAAGAAGCCTGGAAGAGAAAGATAAGAGTGTGAATGGGCCCAGTGTTTAAAAAAAAAAACAAACTCAAAAACCAAAAAAAATATATCCCTGGGAACCGAAAGTGATTATGTAATAAAACAACTGATAGATTTCAATATTTCTCAAGCATTATCAGATCTGAGCATCAGGACAATTCTCTGAGATATGCAGACCGATGTTACCTCTCTGGTTAACAGAGAAGTACAGAGTACAGGCACTGCCCAAAGGCACAGAGTTTGCTGATGACTCCTTTCTGCCATCTTGAAATACTCCCCTTTTTTCTCTTTTCTCTGCTCTCATCATCTCACTCTCATTTGCAATGTGGACTTGAAACGTTTCAATTCCTTTTAAAGGCTCGGTCTGAGGCCCTCTTACCATATACTGTTATCCCTACGGTTCTATCTACACCAGTGTTCTAAATTGCTGTCTGTATCCCATGACTCCCAAATTGTTACCTTGTTTCTAGACTTTTCCTCCAGGTCTGTATGTCTGTGCCTATTTTGGAATCTCCGTTTAGATATCTTTAATGCGTCTGGAATCCAACATACCCTAAACTGAGCATATGAACTTCTGTTGCCACAAACCTATTTGCTCTTCCAGGGGCCTCCATCCAGGTGAACGGCATCATCCACCCAGATGCACGAGCCAGAAAGAAGCCTGGGGATCATTTTTGACTTTCTCACACCCTGACTCCGAATCCAATCCTTCAAGCCCTATTGATTTTGCCTTTTCAAGGCCTTACACATTAGTCCACTTCTTTTCTTCTTACCATCACTCCGGTACAAGCACCCATCATTTCTTGTCCAGAAAAATTATCTGAAGAGGGACTATGAAACCTCGTATAATCTAAACCCTGTCCATCCCACCAGCCCCACTCAAAGGCTGCCTTACTTTATCCTCTACACCCCACCCATGGCGCCTTCTCTCAGCAATTCAAAATGACCATGCTTCCTCCTTTGCAGCTCTTCATGTGAGCTGCCCTCTCTTCTTGGGAAAGTGTCCCCCATTATTGCCTTCATTTCTTTTATCAGCTTTCAACTCACCTATTATTTCTTCAAAAAAATCCTACTTGGAGTCTCATTTTAGGAGAGGTCCCCGTGTTATAAGTCCACACATATCCTACACCTGCTGTTTAAAAGCACTTGGTACACTTGTACTTACGTACTTCTTTGTGTGTATTTGATCAGTTTTCTCTATTATTATGTTGTAAACTCCAGAGGGGTAAGTACCTCACCATTACAACCCGCATCTAGCATAGTACATGGCATAGAGTAAATGTTCAGTACATATTTGAATGAGCAAACTCAAGTGCTTTCTTATCCGATCATCCATGAGTCATATAATTTATCCTTAGCAATTACCGTGTTGTTTCCCAGGGTATGTCTTCAGCCTCTTCCTCGTTTCTTTCCTTTTTTCTTGGTAAGCTCATTTATTCCTCTGGCTTTGACCATCTACTGAAGACTGCCAAATCTCTATCACGGACCTTAAGTCTTTCTGGGCTCCAAGTTCATTTTTGTGACTGCAATCTAAACACTCCC